AGCTGCCCCTCTGAGCTCAGAGAGGAAGGAAAGGGCCATGCCAGAGGTGGGGAGTGGAGGAGACTGGGCCCAGGGCATTTGCTGAGTTCTAACTGGGCACCAGCCTCCTTCCCTCTCCTCTGGCACTTCATCTAGATGGCTAAAAATGGGCACCTGGATGAAATGCATAGGGCACAGTGCTGCAGGGATGGAGACTGCATCCACCATGCATTACCCCATACTTGGGATGCACATAAGCTTTTGCGTTTGGAGGCTTAAGTGCATCTTCAGTGGAGGTCGCTGGATTGCACCCTTAAATGTATGCCCAGTTGTTCTTTAGCCTAGTCAACCTGGCCACAAAGTAATAAAGTAAGTTTTATTTTGCTCAGTGTAGTCAGAAGGCTAGAGCCTTTTTCATTTTGGGGAGAAAAAAAGCGAGTGTAGTAAATTCATCTGTTAAACACATTTATTGAATTGTTAACAGTAACCAAACACAATGTATGACCTTTGTAAAACAAGAAACAGAAAAATGGATTAATTCCAGTCTTGGCAGTTCCTACTACAGATATGTGATGACGGGAAAATATTTCAATTTCCTTTATATTCTTCAGTGATCTATTTACAATACTTATCTCAGTATCTGTCCATTATTAAATAAACAGAAGGTTCATGATCCAGAAATAAGTTTCCCTTACAATCTTCTAGTTCTGCTTTGCCAGTAACCAGTAATGGAAGTGATATAATGAGAGCTTTCCAAGGATTACTTGGCACACAGAACACAAATCCACTTGGATGTGGTAGCGGACCACCATTTTTTTTAATGGGGGGGGGGCTGATGGGAGGGGGAAGGAGAGAGGGGGGAAACAGAGAGGGCGTTTCATATGTACAAAGTCTGAAAAGTCTTTTCCTTGTGAGCTATAGTAGTTTCAGGAAAACAGTATCAAAATTGTAATCATGTTAACGGTAGATATTGTCTTTATTTTTGTTATGACTGATCATATGAATAAATTTCATTTAGCTGAATTCCCAGCTTGGCATCTTTTTTGTTGGAGCGTGGCTGCACGCCTGCCAGCTATGAAGTACAAAGACCGAGGACTGAATGAGGTTGGGGCATCCGCAGTACGTCAATTCACAGTAGTAGCATTCCTCTGAGGTTAAGAGTTCTTCCTGCTTTTGTCTTAATTACTTGAGCAGCCATTCATTTACTGAAAGGGAAAAGCAGCACATACATTTCCATAATGACATTGTAAAAAGTTTTCTACTATAAGGAAAGGTCAGGGATCACAGACTGGCCTTCTTGATGAGTTACTCAGAAAGAAAGAGTGGTATGCAGCTTCTCAGGTAGAGAAGCCAATAGATAGACAGACAGAGAGACAGAGAGACAGACAGATGGGGGGGGGGGGAGAGAGAGAGAGAGAGAGAGAGAGAGAGAGAGAGAGAGAGAGAGAGAGAGAGAGAGAGAGAGAGTGAGAGTTTGTGTGTATGAGCAGCAACAAGAAAATGGAAGAATGTGAGATAAGGAGACACATGAAAGAAAACTTCTTCATTTCATTCCTCTTGGAAAGGGAAGTCCACCGGAAAGCTGAATATTTCAAAGCAGCAGCACAACTTATAGTTAAGGTGTGCTGTGCTACTTAAAGATGGAATCCTATGCAAATTTAGGCAGAACAAACACCTCCAAGTGCCAGCATGGCCCAACCGGTATGGTGGGGGGGGGGGCACGGTGGGAGTCGTAGGGCCTTTTCCTGCCTAACCCTGAGGGTGCAAGCCAATGCCCCTCACCTCTGTGAATGCAAGTCTCCACAATCAGGGCTTCTGTCCGTCCAACGCATGGATCTAGGCTCTGCGAGGGTAACTGTGATTGCTGTGCCCGGCACGCTGTATCTATTTGATCTAGATCATGGCGGAGAGAAAGTGCTGGGGAGGAGGAAGGAAGAAGGCTGGGTGCGGGCAGGAGCTGGGGCAAGCTGTTGGCCCAGTCTCCTCACTCCCAGCACGCCCCTTTTCACCTTCTCCAAGACCTCACTGCCACCTCAGGGAGGCAGCCAGTGTGGCTCCTTCTGCACCCCCTGTGAGTGGGGCAGGGTGGAGGGCCTGGCCTTCCAGGTGCCTCCTAAACTCCCAATCTCAGAAGACAGTGCCAGGAGGCCCCTAGATTGTGCCTTAGGCCAGGCAATTTGAAAGTGTCTCCAAACAAAATAGGCATGGATACAGTTCTAGCACTTATCTAATTTATTTATTTATTTAAATGGCTTTTAAAATTGATTGTTTTGTCATTAAGCTCCTTTTTGCTTTTGCTTTTGAATTATCTCTCTTCTTTGGGGATTTATTACAGCCTCGGGCTCTCCATTTGCGAAGAATCCTTCAGAAGAGGTATTTCCCATGTGAATACATTTTATGTTTTGAGCATATTTGTTTTCAACTCATTATCTTTGCTTGTATTACTTCAACTTACCCTAATGGTCGGACTTCAGCTGGAAGCAGCTAAGTCATATTACTGATTCCCATATACATTATTTTGCTGAGGGTTTAGAAGCTTGTTGCAAAATGTTTGGGGAGGGATCGTAGCCCGGGATAGAGCACCTGGATCTGCACCTGGAAAGGCCTTGGTTCTATCCTGGCATCCCCAAACAGATGATCAGGAAGCAGGTAATGGGTACGAGACCCCTCTGGCTGAATGCTGCTGCTAGTTAGTGGAAAAGCTTGGGCTAGGTTGACAAATAAAGATGTCAGAAAAATCTGCAAGAGACTGAAAGGGTTTTGGAGATTTATTAATTTCACCTGAAGAATCTGCAGCAGACGAGGTTTGCTCGATTCACATGGATTTAACACTTGCAGATTCTTTACTTTAATTTTATGCAAACTCACTTGTAAAAGAGTATGAAAAAAGCCTGACCACATATTTGCATTTCCTCTCATGGACTCACTCTCAAAGACTGAAAATGGGTATTTTATGTTAGGACAGGGATTTATGCATGTTCAGAAGGACAAATTTGGACCAATGGGTATGAACACATCCATATGTGTTCATATGAGAGAGCCAGTGTGGCGTAGTGGTTAAGAGCATGGAGCTGGGACTCAGGCGATCCGGGTTCGAGTCCCTGCTCAGCCATGGAGCCCACTGGGTGACTTGGGGACAGTCACAGACTCTCAGCCCAACCTACCTCACAGGGTTGTTGTTGTGGGGATAAGTTGGAGGAGGAGAATGATGTAAGCTGCCTTGAGCCCTTTGTAGGAAAAAGGCAGGATAGACATCGAAAAATAAATGAATAAAATGTGGTTCCCTCAAGGAACAGATGATGGGATGAATGGCACCTGAAATTCTGCAACATGTGGGCAGAACAGAATCCATACAAAATCCATGGACAAAGTAGCTTGACCTTGTGGAAAGCAGCATCCTGCCTTCAGAGAAAAAGGGCTCCATGAAAAGGAGCGCCACAAAATATTCAGGACACTCCTTTTAAAATGGAAAGAATGCACAATACATACCTCTATACTGTAGTTTCTGTGCTCTATTGTTTGGGCAATCTTTCCCCTGTAAACTAAAGTTGATGTTTGTTCGGATACACCGATTGTTGAGAGGCTGGACTGGTCTGAAGTTGTCGCTCATACTCAGAAAAATCTGTGAAGGCTGATTCTGGCTTAGCAATCGTAACGAATGCATCTGCACAAACAAAAAGGGACCCACATCACACAGTAAGAGATACATCTGCTGAAATTTAGGAATGAAACTTAGGAGTGAGCTGAAATTCAGGGTGGACAAAGGTACTGCCAGAGTCTTGTTTATTCTGCAGCGTAATACTATTGCTAATAATCAAATGGAAACATTCTGTTCCATGCAAGGCTGAATGTTGCAGCTTTGAGAAGTTCAAGTTTATTTTGCTTACTTGGACTAATTTATTCTCTTTCTGGTAGTCAAGAGTGAGAGGCAAGCAGCCACAGGGGACTGAAGCCTTGCTCTGTGATCAGTGGAAATTGTAACAGTCAACTTGATCCTATAAGAATTGCTGAAGTAAAGATTTTGCAATACAGACCTATTCCCTGTTTAATCACAGACTCCCTCCCAGGTGTGACTGTAGATGTTAGCCTGGCCATACAGACAATGCTGACACTTCTATGGGAGCAGGAACCATTTTTCTTTATGGGCCCATAACCTAGGGATGTAATTCTGCCTTAATAAACAGTGCAGATGGTGACTTGGAAGTCCTGCATGTTGCAAAATACCTTGTTGTCTACCTTTTAGGCAGGCTGCTTGTGCGGCCAGCAGGAATCTCCCCTTTCGTTCAGTTTATATTTTGAGCCTTTCTAAATGCCACTTTATGGCAGGGGTGCTTTGAGTTGCCATTCCCTCTTCCCCTCCATGTGTCACCTCTCTGAAGTATTAAACGAATAATAAAGGGAGGAGCCCAGGATGTAGACTTGATAGATTTTCCTGAGAGAGCTCTATTCTAATGGTAGAAAGGGAAGGGTTGTGTCCAGTAGCCTTTCTTTCTGTATTTTCAAATTATAAACTGCTTTGGCTGTGAAAAGCCAAATGCTTTTCTGCTTTTCTCTGCTTTATACTACAGAGATAAATTAGCATTTTACATAAAAATTGCAGTGGGGGTTACACCACCATGATAACCCCTTTAAGCACCATTGAAGCACTGTGAAAGCTATTGTCCCATCTCTGAAAGCTGTCCCCTCCCCACCCCTCCAGCTACAAATGGGGCAGGGTTATTTTGACACACTTTAAAAAAAACACTCCAAAACGTGTTCAGATTTGGAGGAAAAAGAATGGCAGGGAGAAGGCTAAAACTATACTTTGGAAAGGCCAGATCAGTTTACAGGTGGAATCAGACCTGTAGGAAGCTCTAAATGCAATTCAAAATCTACCTAGCTGGAGGGTCATCAACTGAATTTAAAATACCTCATACAAAACACATTCCAAACTGCATTTCTACCTTTCACACTTGCAGGTCAACAGCAAGGGCTTCTTTCATAAGGTTGTTAATATAGTCTATCTACTTTTGCTTCTGTTGCAGAATTAAGGCATGTGCACTATCTGAGCAGTGTTTCCTGCCTTTCTGTGACAGAACCTCTCGGTGGGACTCTGGGATAGGTGAATAGCACAAATACCCAAAAGGAAACAGTTTTCTTTCACCACCAGAAATAATACCCCATCCTCCCTGCTCCAAAGGACCCGCAAAAAGTGCTATTTACAGGAAACTCACACAACTTGGGTGAAAAGGGTTGCAATGTCACTTAAAGAACCTGCAAATGACTGTGAGTTGGGGACAACACAAACACAGTAAATGCCTCATGCAGAAAAGCTCCGGGAGAGGTCCCAGAGCACTCGCAATGGCATTGGAGAAATCAGTCCACGTCCTGCTTGTCTGACAGGGCCCTTAGGTAGGAGGCATTGTTCGGAGGCAGTGGCAGAAAGTGGCTGGGACTCCCTGTTACTTATTAAAGCCACGCTGCTGCCCTTCAAGAGTGGTCCGGTGTACAACACAGGCTGACAAATCCACAGCTCTGTTTTCCAGGAACCAGTTCAACTTCCTCATGGCCATCTTGAGATGAGGGATTTCAGGAAATGCCTGAGTCGGAGAGTTACTGCCCCATCCCAGAAATCTATAATGTGCCAAGGGAGATCAATGCATTGAGCCTAGTCTCTGGTTGAGACTGCTCAGTTGCCTTTCTGTGGATCTGGTAAGGCTGACAGGCTTCTGGCAGTGAGTGGCTTGCCTACATGTCTGTCACAGAGCGACTGGCCAGTCCGAATGGCCTATAGGAGGGATCAGCTGAGTTGCTCCGATGCGACAGCAGGGCAGGTGAAGCATTGTAGGAAAGCGAGGGTAAAAGAACCAGGGCTGGGTGGAGGCAATGAAAAGATACGTTCAGAAAAACATGAGGAAAGAGGGAAAGGAACCTGTGTGTGTGTGTGGTGGGGGAGCATAGGAAAGGGTGCATGGGGAGGGGGGCATATGACCAGGAGCTGGAAAGGAAGGAAGGCTGAAGGTTGGATTTCTGTAACACGCTCTACGTGGGGCTGCCCTTGAAGACAGTCCAGATACTTCAGATGGTGCAAAACAGAGCAGCCAGGTTGCTGACGGGAACTGGGCGTTATTCTCATATAACCCCAGTCCTCTACCAGCTTCACTGGCTTCCCATCGAAGTCCAGGCTCAATTCAAGGTGTTGGTAATTACTTATAATGCCCTTAACAGCTTGGGACCCAGATACCTGAAGGAACGCCTGCAGCCATATTTGCCCTCCTGCCCCTTGAGATCGGCAGCAGGGGCTCTCCGCCGGGAGCCTTCCGTAAGAGATATCAGGAAGCAAAGTACCCGGAGGAGGGCTTTCTCTGCGGTGGCGCCCCATCTGTGGAATGCGCTCCCCAGAGAGGTCCGCCTGGCACCATCGTTATTCGGCGCCAGGCCAAGACCTTTTTGTTCAAACAGTATTTTAATAAACTTTAATATTTATAGTTTTAATTGTGCAGCCAGTGTGTTTCCAAGTTTTAATTGTAATTGTATTTGTTTTATTTATTTGTTGATGTGAGCCGTCCCGAGGCTATGTAGCAATGGGGACGGCATATAAAAACTTTAAATAAAATAAATAAATAAATAATAAGGTCATATGCATGAAATAACTAGCCATGTCTTTACAGCAGTCATCCCCAGTGGCCGTTCTGGACTACTATTCCCAGTGGCCATGCTGGCTGGGGGGTGACAAGACCTGAAGTCCAAAACATCTGGAGGGCACCAGACTGTGGAAGGCTGATTGATGTATCTTCCCTTTATTCTGGCTTTGCATATAACATACGAGTACACAAATTCGTTCTTCTAACAGGTCACGTATTCCATCCAGTAATGTATTTTACTTTACCTGCATCCTTGTTATGTAGACAGGTTTGTTCATTAGTATCCAACTTGCTGTTTCATAACAGGGTGGAATTGTCATTGACCCATCATATGTAATGAAACTAGAGGTTTCAGGGTAAAGTTCCTCAATATTAAGTCCCTGCAGTAAATATGCATCATCTAGGGAAGAAATGGTGGTGAAAGTATTAGAAGAAAGCAGCATTCAAGCACACAAGATTAATGTTGTCCTTTACTACTGCATTAAGTCTAAATGGAAAACAGTGCGACCTGCATGGCCCTGATGTACTTGTAGTCCGATTTACAAATTCAAAGAGAAAAGGGCTAGACTTATGTGGCCCATCTTGACCCACACATGTAAAAGATCCAGTAAATGCACGTCATGCGTGGTGATACGCTGGTTAGGTTTAACTGCAAACGCGACAGCCTGGACTGCCAAATGAAAAGTCTGCCTGGGCTTGTTCCCCCTTCCATGGATGCTGAGCACAAGGCAGGAGAACAGGTACGGTGGGATACCTGGGTCTTGTGCACCCGACCCAAAGGAAGCCAGTGGCCTAGAGACTTTCTGTGCCAGCCCTGCCTGCTTGGGACAGCAGTGCCAACAGACCTCCCTCCCCAGTCCAAGCAGATCCAAAGCAGCTGGCGGGGGCAGTGCCTGGGCCTCAAATGATCCAAGTCTCAGGTTCACAGGACAAATGACTGCACACTCACACATGCTGCTTACACAGGCACATGTACGCACATTTGTAAGTAGAAATTGTTATTATTGTTTACATGTTAAAGAAGGCATGCACATTAACTTGTTCCTTGCTTCTGGGACAGAACTGTATGCTGCCCAAATTTTGCTTCCCCACCCTCCCATGCACCCACAATTTTCTTTGATCTTTCAGTCCCAAATCTGGGACCAGCAAAGAATGGCACTCTCAACATCTCTCCCCCTTCCACCCACTATCACTAACGAGCACCCCATGGAGATGGTAGGACTGGAACGTCGCCTTGCCCTCCTGGTCCCATCAGACCACCACTGCCAATTTTATTTCACACATTATTTGGGTAGTTTCTGGGATTCTAGAGCATCGTGTGTACTTGTTTTCTTTTAAATACCATTCTTTTTTTTCTAATTTCTGGAAATTCTAGATCCTAAAGTACCAAAATGGATTGCTGGATATGTTGATTTGGCTTGTAAGACCAGCCAGAATTCCTAATATGCTGTTGCCTGACTGTAGATTTTGGGATTTTCTTGCTCATGGACCAGCATGGCTACTTGTGTTTTTGGTCTGGTTGTTTTTGTTTTTAATTACTTGGGAATAAATCTCAGTGAACTCAGTATGGCTTCCTTTTGAGTAATGTTGTTTAGGATTACACTGCAAGTTTGATGGAATCCTGAACCTGTTCCACCACCCTCAGATCCATTTGTATCCCCACTCATTTCCTTACTCCACCCAATTTCTGGTGCCATCTCAGCTACCTTTTCCCACCCCACAGATCTCTAGCCATCCCCAAGGCTGTCACCAAGATATTTTATTGCCTGGGACACCAACAAAGGGCTCCTCCCCCCATCCCCAAGCCCCAGTTCAGGTGCATGCAATGTTCAAACCCAGCCAAGTTTATTTGACCCTCCTATGCATCTCTTCCCTGGCAGTGAAAGTACAATAATTAATACATTAAGTAATAAATAATTTGCTACAATTTCATGATGTTCCCAATCAGTTGCCTGAAGCAGCTGCCCCAGGCTCTAAGATTTGAGTATGGGTGTTTAAAGTGCCCTGTCTCAGAAGGATATCCCTGTTCATAAAAGGGATGCATGGAGGGGGAAGAGGAAGGCATTTGATTTCAGACAAAAAGGCTCAGGAAGAAACATTCAAGGAAGGCAACAAGAAGGAAAGCAAAAAGCCAACTAATCCAAGAGGATCAGATGTAACCAAGTTCATTAGATCTCCTGTTCCTTTGCTTTAGCACGTGCCATTTTGCTCCAGTTCCTTAAAAAGCAACATCTTTTGGAATAAGTTCCTGTACAGTGAATTCCTGACCAGAATATCTTACACCACAGTGAATGTATGAGTCTTTAATAAGTCAGAAGGCATTGTTGCCTTTAAACACAAAACAGCAAGAAGCCTCTGTCTTCCCATGTCTATTCACCTTTCTCTAGGGCAAACCCATGATGCAGAGCAGTACCAAGCAGCCACTAGAATCTGGCCACACGGATTGTGGGAAAAGCAGGTGTACTCCAGAAGGAGGACTGCAGAGGCAAGGTGCTCCAGAGACACTCAAGCAAGCCTGGGCAATGTGTAATCACGTTCCCAATTCAGACATTTGGTTTTGTTTTGAAGCAAACCTGCTTCTCTTTTCTTCCAAGGTAAGGAGGCTGGGCCAGTCTGGAGGAACAGCAGATGAGAAACTCCATTTCAGCTGTGAGCAGCTAATTAATGCACCTGCTTTTCCTCTTATCAGGACCTTGCTTCCCTCAACAACCCAGGGTACAAGCCATTGATCCAGGACTTGGCTGGGCAGGTCTTTGCAGAGTCAGGCTTACTCTGGGAAAGCTGGTGCTCTCAGGCAATCTTGGGCTCTAACTTAACAGCAGTAAGCAGACTCTGGAAGGCAAGCTGACAGCCTCCCCTCTAGTTTAAAAGGGCAGTATCTTCATATACTGCACTCCCTACTAGTCTGCTGGGGGAGTGAGCCCCAAGGTTTCCTCATAACTGCTAGGCTCCTTAGTTCAGAGGGAAGAAGCAGGATTGTTTTAAGGCAGACTGGGAGATCTTCAAAGATCCAAGCACTGCTCAAAGATTTGGGGGCCATGCCTTGTTGGTTCTTTCTAACAGTGTCTAAGGGGATGGTTCAACTATTGGCTGAGTAGGGCTCCCCCAGTTTTTGTTTTGCTTTACTTTCAGCATGGAGTTATTTCATTCCAAAATAGTGAATTATTTCCACTCGGCACTTCTGGGTGCAGTATGAGATGCTTAAAGATGTGGACTGGGTTCCCTACCCGATAAGATTGCCTGGGCAGGTTCAGTATGAGTGGGAGGGGAGACAGCTGCCATGAACAGAGATGCAGTAGATTCTTGAATAACATATACCCAAAACACTTGAAGGGGAAAAGCCTCTTTTGAATACGGGATTGGTAGATCCTTCATCAATTACTTTTATGCAAAGATAAATCATTCTGAACAGAGTTCAGTTATATAAGAAAAGCTTTTTATTCTTTACAGAAATAGAACTTATTAATAAAAGGCACTACAAGTAAGGAAACAGCAACAAAAATGGGGCGGAGGGATGATTCAAACTGTGGCTCTCCCAGCCTTTCCTCTCCCAGTAGTTCCATACTTAAGAAGCAGGTTCCCCAACAGGATGCAGACAGTCCCCTCTATCTCAAGTCTGCCTCCTTTTAATATTCTTATATTCTTTTTTTTCCCCTTTTGCTTTTCCAGAGGTTAGCCTGCCCTTCTGTTTTCAAACCACCAGCCTTATCTATTCTATTCTTACCTTATGACTAATTTTCGGTTTTAAGAGGCCATCCTGAGACACTTGCCATGGAAATGCTCTGTGTAAATGGCATTTTCCAGCCACAGTTAAATATTTTCAGTTCCACTTGATTTCAATAGGAGAGATTTAAGCACATGTTCTATTTGATTCAGTCTTTGTGAATGTCTATACAGGGGGGCACTAGCTGTACCTCTTATATCAGGGTTGGGGAACCATTTTTGGTGCAGTTATTCCTTGGAGAGCTCTTGGGCTTTCACCAGTGGTGAAATGGGCCACAAGCAAAAGTGAGCAGGGCTGAAATATTCAACCAACACCAAATTCCATAGCCGTCAGTTTATAGTGGGAAAGAAATCTACTCTGGAGTAAGTATGAATAACACATCTACTCAAAACCATATACATTATTGCTCAGCAGTAAACTGGAAAGGAAAAATGCAGCAGCAATTTCTAATAGTATCCCAAATACCACACCTCTGCAAGTCTTCTTAGAATGGAGGAGCACAAGCATTTATATGGCTATTCTGAATGAAGCAGGAAAAACTCTGGGCAGCACATCCAGACAGCATCCCAAATGCCAGGCTGCTGCATGTCTACTCTGAAGTAAGCATATTATCCCTGCTCAGGTGGAAGGAGGACAAGCTGCTGCAGCACAAGTCTCAGAAGGAGGCAGGACTGGATGGCTTTTAGGTTAAATTGCTTCTAGACTGCATGCTGGCCTCCATCTTTTAATTTAGGGCAGGTTGGAAAAGTTTGGATACAGACAGACAATTCATGTAAAGCAGGAACAAGTCCTTCAGCTTCCAGAGCACGAGCGCACAAAAGAAATGACCCCACCTTTGAGTCAGAGCTCGAATGTATTTTTATTCTGCTAATTTTTGGAAAACTAAAAATCCACCTTTTTGCTTGTTCTGTCATGCTTTGGAAATAATTACTCTCGTTTTTTGTTGTTGGGGGAAGGGAAGGGTCTTGATTAACAATTATTATTTTTGTTCAACACATCCTGGAAAGGCCAAGAGTATTTAGATTTAATTACCCTTGCACTGCAGAAAAAGATTGTTCTACCTTGTTAAGGTTAATGTATGATAATAAAGATGCTCAGTGAAGCCTAATGCCCTTTAGTGCATGCAGTGGGAGTTGGAAGGCACGGAGAGCGCGCTTGGAATGCTCAAGCCAATGGAAAAAAATATGCTTTTAAGCAAATGACTGGGCTTCCCACTTCTCTTTTTTAAACACAACCTTCCTTGCTAATTAATGAACCATTCCTTTGTAGAAAATTTCAGAGTGAACATGTTCTGTGCTCAGCCTATAATTAGAAAGGGATCCAGCCCTTAAGAGCCATCCAAGCAGATCAGCACCTGTCATGCTGTCTGTATTTATGCAGCAAAGGGCTTGCTTAACAATTGCTTCCAACGCTTGCCCCTACAACAACCCTACTGGATAGGTTTTGTTGTTGTTTTATAGATGAGAATCTGTTGCTAACAGCATACATTTATGCATATTTTCTCAGAAGTAGGGCCTGCAGAATTCGGAGGGCCTTACTCCCAGGAAGCATATATAGGACTGCGCACTACTGGGGGGGGGGGGTTGCCGAAGGTCACCCTTCGTAGTGACCTGAACCAGTCTGCTAATTTGGAGTGCAACCCTCTCAGTTTTCGGAACGAACTGACACTTGGGGGT